CTCTCCCAGAGAGGGAGGGGCGGGGGGGGGGGTAGATGGCGGTATGGTTCAGCTAACTGTCAAATCCTAGCCTGGAAAAGGTTAGCCTGAACCCCAGTGGGGAAATGAACAGGACACCCCCCCCCCAAAACTGACCTTCTGTGCCCAGTAATAGACCGATTCAGGGTTGTTTATTTCCTTGCCCAGCCGTGCGATCATCTTGGACGGGGTCCATTTCACACCCTGCAGGACCCAAGGGCCAAAGCTGTGGTGAAACCACCCCCTCCTGGCTGGGTGACCCGACCCAACCCCTGCCCTGCCCCCCCCACCAGCTAAGAGGGAGTTATCGATGTTCACCTGTTCTCCCCATTACAGTACAGATAGGGAAACTGAGGCATGGAGGGACGTGACTCTCCCAAGAGATCGAACCCAAGAGTCTTGACTCCCAGTGCCCCACCCACCCTCTGCTCAACCCACTAGACCCCCCACTCCATTCCCAGAGCCAGGGATAGAACCCAGGCGTCCTAACTCCCAGCCCCCCTTTCTCTAACCACTGCCCTCCCATCTACACATGCCAAGTATTTTGGCAGGGAGAGTGGGGGGGTTGAGTAGGGATCAGGTCAGAGGCTTTCCCAGCGTCCTACAGGCCCAGCACCATCCCCTCCCCGGGACACGGCCTCCCCTGAAGCTTCCCCCACCCCCTGGCTCTCACCTCCACATTCTGCTCAGCGACCATCTGGTCCAGGATGGGCATGAGCCAGTCTTCGAACTTGCAGTAGTTGTCATTGGGCACCAGCAGGTTCCCGATCCTGGAGAGAAACAAGCAGGTTCAGCCCCCGCCCCCCCAAACCAGCTGGACTCAGCCTCTCCACAAGCCCCACTCTGCCCCAAGGAACAGGGACACAGCTGGCATGACCTGATCCCCACAGATGGGGGAGAGCAGAGAGGATCCTGGCGGAGTGGCTGGGAACAGGAGATGGAGCCTTTTACCTCTAGAGCATCAGTTCCTGACTCGCAGCCTCCCCACTCTCCTCCCAAACCAGGGACAGAACCCAGGAGTCCTGGCTCCCAGCCTCCCCACTCTAACCCCTAGACCCCACTCTCCTCCCAAACCAGGGACAGAACCCAGGAGTCCTGGCTCCCAGCCTCCCCACTCTAACCCCTAGACCCCACTCTCCTCCCAAACCAGGGACAGAACCCAGGAGTCCTGGCTCCCAGCCTCCCCACTCTAACCCCTAGACCCCACTCTCCTCCCAAACCAGGGACAGAACCCAGGAGTCCTGGCTC